AAAATAATTTAATTTATTTCTCAGAACTGAAATCGGACATAAATTCCGACTACAATCGAAAACCGAAAAAAAACGAAAATTCTAAAAATTTCATATTTCTCTCTAATAATTTAAATAGACTAAAATGTCTAAATAAATTTCTCACTTCTTTGAACATTTATAACTTAAATGTTCATGGATACTTAACCGAACTCGAGACCTAACTTGTCTCGACTCATTATTCTTTTTCTTTCTCATTCAAACTAGAAATGGCCAAATTTACATCCATTTAGTTAAATAAAATGGAATGTTACTTGAACTTGAACTTCATTTTAAATAACTTATTTCACTTCAATAAACATTAATGTGTAATTAATGCTTATAACTTGGCTCGAAACTAGGAACGAGCATTATTAATAAACGTAATTAGTTCAAACTTAGAACTAAAATAATTACTTTTATTAATTACTGAATGGGATATTACAGATCATGACCAATTAATTAGCTGAAAAATATTACATTTATTATAACAATTGCTTATGTGATTTTAAGAAATTTTAATATGACATAAAAAAAATTAATTTATTAATAAACATCATCTTCATCATATAAAAAATATTGATTTTAGTGTAAAATATAATTTTATGTAACTTTCATATATTATTTAGTATAAAATATAATTACTAATTTTAATATTAACTATTATATTATTCAATAAAAATATATTTATTAATCAATTAACATAAAATATAATGGTTTTTGTCTTAATTAACCCAAAAAATGTAATGAAATATTTTATTATTAATGAGATTGGGTGTATTAATGCCACATAAATAAAATTTATTAGGTTCTATTTATTAGGTTTTATTAATGATTTGCCACATAGGCAAAATTTATTAGGTTTTATTTATCAGGTAAAATTTATTGCTTAGCTATCAATTATATATATATAATTATATATAGATAATTGACTGAAACTTAGGAATTCACGGGTAGAATATTCCAGAACAAAAACCAAGTCTAGAGTAGAGGACAAGTTACATTAATGGGCTTACTAGAAAGATCTATAATATCTCATCTCTCCACCGTCCCGATTTCGACCAAAATTAGATCTAATAACCCACCGATTTTTACTTTCCTTGTCCTATTCCAGTTGCAGATAACAAATATTCTCCTCTCTATAAATATATGAGTTTCCCCATAATTTCACATAAATAAAAATCAAAACTCCAACAATAATCATAAAAGAAAAAGTAGCGAAAAGAATGAATTCTACTTCCATAAATCACGCTGGCGGGACCTTGAGCGGCGGACGGCGGCCACAGCCTGAAGTCCCCCGCCCGTGCTCCGGCGGCTGCGGATTCTACGGCACGGCGGAGAACAAGGGCCTGTGTTCCAAGTGCTACATGGCCCACCTCAAAGACTTGATGGCCAAAACAGAGACGGCGGTCATTGACAAGCGAGAACCGGATGTTGTTACAAAAACCGAAATCTTGAATAAACCGTCGTCTCCGGTTCATGTGGAGAGAAAAAGATGTGGAGTCTGTAACAAAAAGGTAGGGCTATTGGGGTACGAGTGCAGGTGTGGGGCCACTTACTGTAGGTTGCATAGATACCCTGAGGCTCACCCGTGCGGGTTCGATTTCAAGAAAGCCGGCAAGGATGCAATTCGTAAGGAAAACCCGGTTTGCCTGTCGGACAAGATTATAGATAGGGTTTGATTATTAGTTCTTTTTATTTTGAACATTTTACATGGTCATCCTCTGTAGGAGTAGAAGAAAGAGATGAATGGTAGTTATATTTTTTTTAGTGGGGATGAATGGAAGTTCGTGTCTTATAGTACCATTTATTTAGTGAGATTAATCAACGTTCGTTTCTGATATTTACTTGTCAAACATTGTACAATATTTATTTTTCATTGATGAACAAGATAGGCTGCTCGACTAACTAATTAAAAAACCTCATACACAAGAGAGATTGCAATAAATATACTTTCAACACTTTATAATTACATTTTATATCTTAAATATAACAATTTTTTAACAAATGATAAAGAGGGAGAAATATTTTCTTTGTTACAAACAAAAATAAACGTTAAAATTTTAAACTTTCTTTTACTTAAATATATATCTTATATTAATTTGAGTGTATAATATTTAGTTAAAATAATGATAAATTTTTGAGTGTATATTAATTTGAGTGTATATCTTATATTAATTTGAGTGTATATTAATTTGATATCTAAGAAAACTAAATAATGATAAATTAAAACTCGTTTTAAAATGAGTTGATTATAATTGACTCTTCTAATAACTATTAGTAACATTATTTAACTGTCTATCACGATATAGTATTTTGTATATCTATACTAATATAAAAAAGGTTGTTGGTAAAATTAATTTTAGTAATTTTGAATAAAAAACAAATGATTTGACTTACTATTAATGGAAATTAAAGAAAAAAAAATTCATGTGAATCTTTAGGAATCAAATTTAATCATATTTTATATAATTTGGCTGGATTTTCGTTTCCAATTATTGAGGAACCAAAACTAATTTCAATTCATTTCTTAAATATGAATCCCATAGAAACCCAATTTTTTTTATAAAAAATTTGGAGATTCTTATGCAAAAAATGTGTCAATATTTTATTAAAACAAATTCAAATACATATTAATTTAAAAATCGTTCGTATCATTTTTTACTTTTATTTTTTTCTTATCAAAATCCGTATCCTATCTTTTTTGGTAACAAATTTGGAGATTCCTATGCAAAAAATGTGAGATTTGACTTTCAAATAATTGAGATTGAATTGAAATATCCCAACAATAACGGATTTTCATATTTTTTTTCTCATTTAAATTAATGTTGTAAATCAAACAAAAATTTGTTCTGAGAATATTGGATTCTATACCAAATATTGATACACTCCAATCCTGCATGAATTATTTGTATTTATGAATTCTGTGTGTAAATATATTGATTTGCTTTTTATACATAACAATAAATTACATTATTTCCTCACATAACTCCTAACTTCTTTTTTATTTTTTTGGTGTTTTATATTCTTTAATTAAAATAATATATGATTTATTTGATTGAACTTATTTTTAGGCATCTAATCATAGAAAATTAAAAATCTATTAATTTACCAAAAATCACGACCTAAATCTATAACTATCAACATTTAGCTGAAATAGTATGTAAAATTTCACCTAAAATTTTTGTTTTTACTAATAATGGATTTTTTTCTTTTTGAAATTTTGTAAATTTCCGCCAAAAGCACAATTTGATATTGAAAAAAATATAGATTTGAAAATCCGGCCAAATCTCTATCTATTGATGATTTTTTTGTCTATATTTATCTAACTACAAAATATTTTTAAAGTTTGAAAAAATATCCCATATTATGTGAATTCTTGGTTAAAAAAAATAAAAAAAATTGTCCATATCTATCTAACTACAAAATCTTTCTAAATTTTGGAAAGAATTCCATTGTATGAGGATTCTTTCTATTATTTGGTGTACACAAAAATGAAAAACGCCAGTTCGGTTTTTGATTATTTATGGACTCATTTTCGGTCTCTGTAGAGTACTCCATTTTGGTTAGCTTAAATCGAATTAATCAACGAATGCACAACACTTCATATAATTGGTTGTATAGTTTTTGGACAATTGTTGCATTCAGACTTTCATGTTTATTTTCTTATCATAGAGACTACTTATCATAGAATGTGATTGTTAAAACGTAGCGTATCCAAAAAATATTTATTTCAAATTAATAACTCAATCAAACGTTAGATTTAAATTATATGATTGCTTAGTATGAAAACTCTCTTATTATGTTTAATTTATTCATCGTCAAACCAAATATTAAGTATGTATTCCAAGAATTGAAAAGATTATTGTTGATATCAAAAATTGTATCAACATAGAAAATGTCCTTCCAATTTTTATATGAAAAAATAGAGAAGAAGAAGATAGATGACGAAGTTCTTTTTTCTTTGCTCTTTTAAGATGATTTTTTCTTCTCTTATGTAATGGAGAGTCCTTTCAATAATGAAGACCTCCTCCCTTTTACATGTCTTAAAAGTGGGCAAATAAAAAATAGAAAAATATACAATTAGTGGGTAATAAAATAATAGAAAAGTAGTACAATAATATTTAATCAATTATGATGTTTGATGGCTTCCTTACATTATTCGATTGATCGATTAGTTTAACTTCTACCTGGCTCGGACGTGGACGATCTTAACGTATGAGGGCTCGGTCTATATCAAATGATCAGCTTGGAGAATTGGCTTTCTGTATATTTATTTGTTATATATTTTAGCCCCTATTTATTTTTCCACGTACCACTCTTTTATTAGTTGTGACTAAATTGAGTATCAACATTTATAACTTAAAATATGTTGTAATATTTATGTTGACCAAAATATTATAAACATGAATCACGGAAAATCAATCTTGTAATGTATTACAATGAATATCAATAAAATTATTGTAAATATTAAAAAAATTATTTAAGAAAACAATGATTTTGATTATATTTATTCTAACTATCTATTCACAATTATAATTTTATATAACAATATTTTTCTTAATTAAAATAAAAAATATAACAATAATATAAGAAAATAAATGTAAAATAAAAGGAATAAAAGAGAGAATATTTGAAGTTGAGTAAGATAAAGAGAAAATATTTAAATGTAAAATATTTGAAGTAGATTAAGATAAAGAAGCATGAATTTGGGTTTAACACAAAGATCCCACGATATATTACCTAGTCGAACTTGTACGCTTCTTCCCTATTCCGCATGAATTTGGGTTTAACACAAAGATCCCACGATATATTACCTAGTCGAACTTATACGCTTCTTCCCTATTCCTAACTTCAGTAACTTCTGTAAAATTACCCATATAAAAGTAAAACCTAAAAACCTTTTATTCACTACTCATTATTTTCTGCCGATCCAAACTTTGCAGAGATAAATTACTCGATCGTAATTAGAAACTTATAGAGAAGATGAAGATTTTCGTGAAGACTCTCAAGGGTATCACTTCAACGTCGAAGTAAAACCCGAGGATACGGTTAGTTCTCTCTTCTCTTTTTCTTTCCTTTTTTGGTTTTCTTTTTTTTTTTTTTTTT